ACCCTTTGTAAGTCACCTATGGCTGGGCTTTCACAAACCCATGACTGGGCTTTCACGAACATTTTGCCAGTCACCTATGGCTGGGCTTACACAAACCCTTCGCCCGTCACCCATGGCTGGGCTTCCACAAACCCTTCACCCGTCACCCATGGCTGGGCTTCCACAAACCCTTCGCCAGTCACCCATGGCTGAGCTACCACAAACCCTTTGCCAGTCACCCATGGTTGGGCTACCACAAACCTTTCGCCATTCACCCGTGTCGGGCTTCCACAAACCCTTTGCTAGTTGCTCATGGCTAGGTTTTTGCAAACCCCTCACAAGTTGACTAAAGCATGGCTTCAGTAAACCAAGTTATTAATGGCAGGGCTTCCACAAACCCTTTGTAAGTCACCTATGGCTGGGCTTTCACAAACCCTTCGCCCGTCACCCATGGCTGGGCTTCCACAAACCCTTCACCCGTCACCCATGGCTGGGCTTCCACAAACCCTTCGCCAGTCACCCATGGCTGAGCTACCACAAACCCTTTGCCAGTCACCCATGGTTGGGCTACCACAAACCTTTCGCCATTCACCCGTGTCGGGCTTCCACAAACCCTTTGCCAGTCACCCTTGCCTGGGCTACCACAAACTTTTTCGCCAGTCACCCATGGCTGGGCTTCCACAAACCCTTTACCAGTAACCCATGGCTGGGCTTCAAAGATCTCTTTGTCAGTCACCCATGGCTGGGCTTCCACAAACCTTTCACCAGTCACCCATGGCTGGGCTACAACAAACCCTTTGCCAGTCACCCATGTTGGGGCTTCCACAAACCCTTTGCCAGTCACCCATGGCTGGGCTACCACAAACACCTCACCCGTCACCCATGGCTGGGCTTCCACAAACCCTTCACCAGCCACCCATGGCTGGGCTTCCAAAAACCCTTTCGCCAGTCCCCATGGCTGGGCTTCCACAAACCCTTTACCAGTAACCCATGGCTGGGCTAACACACACCTTTCACCAGCCACCCATGACAGGGCTTCCAAAAACCCTTTGCCAGCCACCTATGTCGGGGCTTCCAAAAACCCTTCGCCAGTCACCCAGGGCTTCCACAAACCCTTCGCCCATCACCCATGGCTGGGCTTCCACAAACCCTTCGCCAGTCAACCATGGTTGGGCTACCACAAACCCTTTGCCAGTCACCCATGGCTGAGCTACCACAAACCCTTTGCCAGTCAACCATGGTTGGGCTACCACAAATCCTTCACCAGTCACCCATGGCTGGACTACCACAAACCCTTCGCCAGTCACCCATGGCTGGGCTAACACAAAC